GATGTACTCACTGTCACCAAGAATTAACTGATGGAAGCCTTCTCTGTAGGAACTTAACGCAGCTGTGAGCAAGCATTTCCATTTGATCTCAAAGATAAAATTATCAAAAGTTGCAGAAGAACTGGTAAGTTTTCATTTTATTTTAATTGAACTTGAAAGGGGTGTGATTCCTTTATTTTATTATGTTTGAAAGGGTGTGATTCCCTTATTTTGTTGAATACAGAAGGGGTGTGATTCCTCTTGTTTATTATGAATTTAAAAGTGTGATTCCCTTAGTTTTATTATGAATTTGAATTTTGATGATGGGAGATATTTGAATTTGTAGGAACATCAAAATGGATAAATTTGTGATCAGGTCAAACATTGGCCAATCAAGTTCCAATAGTAGTAGTCGACCTTCTGTTAGTTCGAATATAGCTCCTGAAATCCAAAGAGGGACAATCTTATCCCCTCCTTCAAATGTTGATAGTGTTCTTGAGCTAGGATCTCCCAATCATGATCTCAAAGAAAGAATACTAATTCTTCAGTATGCCCCTAATATCCGAGATGAAGTGAGGAGACATTATATTCAAAAAGGGGCTTGTCAACCGAGTGGCCATGCTTTCCCTAAAACTAAATTTGGGAACAAAATGCGTCAATTTAATCCCGATTGGTTTAAGGGTCCATATTCTCAATGGTTGGAATATAGCATAAAAAGTGATGCTGCATTTTGTTTGTGTTGTTATTTATTTAAGAATGTACTTGAAAGTCGCGGTAATGCGGGAGATGCATTTACAAAAGATGGTTTTAAGGGTTGGAACAAGGGTACGGAAAGACTTAGAACGCATGTCGGGGAAGTAAGTAGTATCCATCACAAATGTTTTAATNTGATGGTTTTAAAGGTTGAAACAAGGGTACGGAAAGACTTAGAACACATGTCGGGGAAGTAAGTAGTATCCATCACAAATGTTTTAATAGGATGCAAGATTTGATAAATCAATAACAATCGATTCAATCTTCTTTTCACAAGCAAAGTGAGAAAGTAAAAAGTGATCATCGGATACGTTTAAATGCCTTGGTTGATGTGGTAAGATTTCTCTTGAGAAATGGATTGTCATTTCGTGGTCATAATGAAAGTGAAGATTTCGAATACAAAGGTCTTTTTCTTGAACTTTTGGAATTTCATGGGGATAAGCATTTAGATGTGGGAAAGGTAATATTACATAAAGCTCCAAAAAATGATATGATGATTTGTCCAGCAATTCAAAAGGATATTGTGGATGCTTGTGCTAAAGAAACAATTAAAGCTATTATCCAAGATTTGAATGATGACTTTTTTGGGATATTGGTTGATGAATCAAAGGACATCTCACATAAAGAGCAAATGGCCCTTGTTAAACGATATGTTAACAAAAGAGAGGAGGTGATTGAGCGCTTTTTGGGTATTGTCCATGTGAATGATACATCTGCACTATCATCACAGAAAACAATTTATGATTTGCTTTTGGATCACTCTTTAAGCTCATCCAAGCTACGTGGACAAGGTTACGATGGAGCTAGTAATATGCAAGGAAGAATAAATGGCCTAAAGTCTTTGATTTTACAAGATGTTCCATCTGCCTATTGTGTTCATTGTTTTGCCCATCAGTTGCAATTAACACTTGTAGCTCTTTCTAAAAAGCATCCGGATGTGAATATTTTTTTTGATGTTGTCACTAACACATTGAATACTATTGGAGCATCTTTTAAATGCAGGGAAATACTTCGACAACACCAAGTAGAGAAGTTGGAAGAATTACTTAAGTCTGGAGAAATACTTACCGGCCAATGATTGAATCAAGAACGTGGGCTCCAACGACTGGGTGATACTCGTTGGGGTTCGCATTTTAAGACCTTGGAAAATTTCTTGATTATATTTTCTTCGATTGTTAACGTGCTTAATGATATGCAACAAGATAGTCTTCTTTCTCTTGATTGATTTGCAGTAAAAAATCTTTTGGGTAATATTCAAGAATTTGAGTTTGTGTTTTTATTGCACTTGATGTTCAAGATGTTGCTTTTTATAAATGAATTGAACAAAGCTTTACAAAAGAAATATCAAGACATAGTCAATACTATGAGGTTGCTTGACCTTGCAAAGATAAAATTGCAGACTATGAGAGAAAGTGAATTCGAGTTCTTAATGAATGAAGTTTACTCGTTCTGTGGTAAACATGATATTATGATCCCCAAAATGGATGAAGACTATCCAAGATCGAAACGAAAAAGGTCGGGATTTTCATATTCACATCACTTTAGTGTGGAAATATTTTATGCAGCTATTGATTTGCAGCTTCATGAGTTAAATAGTCGTTTTGATGTAGTGACTAGTGACTTACTCCTTGGTATGGCTTGTTTGAATCCGATTGATTCATTTGTTAATTATGACAAAGACAGAATAATGAAGTTGGCCGAGTATTATCCAAATGAGTTTGATGACAACAAGCTTCGAGATCTCAGCTTTCAGCTTGATAGTTTCATTGTCTATGCTCGAATGCCTCATAGCAAATTTATCAACTTGAAGGGAATGAAGGATCTTGCTATAGTGATGGCAGAGACGAAATTGGATCAAACTTGGTGTCATATTTATTTACTTGTGAAGTTGACTTTGATTTTACCTGTTGCTACTGCAAGCGTGGAAAGGGCATTCTCCTCAATGAAGCTCATAAAAAGTGATCTACGTAATAGCATTAATGAAGAGTTTTTGAATGGTTGTTTAGTTTGCAATATAGAGCGTAAGGTATTTGCAACTGTAAGTAATGATGCTATTATTGATCGTTTTCAAAGTATGAAAACTCGTCGCGTACAATTGTAAATTGATAATATTGTTTTTGTGATAATGTAACTAATTATTTTTTTGCTCGGTAAGTTGTTGTGATTGTAAACTTTTATATTATCAAACTAAATGTTAATCTTGAATGTAATGGTGCACCCATCATCCCGAATTTCTAGATCCGCCTCTGCATTCAGGCAATCTTGGAAGCAATACTCAACAACTTTGTATCAAACACATAAATTTGGCGATATTCTTTTCACGGGTACCAAGATATGAATCTCTAATCGATGAATTGTTTAGTTACTACCATCCACAAACCTTGCTAGTGCGAGTGATGAGTACAGAGGCCCAAATTAAAAACTTTACACAGGTATTTTGAATCGTTATGACTTCATTAATCTTCACCCTAATATTTTTTAACCTTCACTTCTCTTTTTTCATGTTGCACTGTACTTATGAATTTGTAGGTCCTATTGGACGAACTAAAAAGCCGGGAAAAGAAATGCACCAAGTGTCGTAAATGTAGTAATTACATGTGGTGGCGCCATTTATTGGAAGGTTTTAAGATCCTCGAACCAACTAAAAGAGAATGGGCTGATCAGATTAGCTTGGAGTTCCAATGGTAATAGACTCAGAACACATATCTTTTTTTTTTCTTTCTTCTATTTAGCAACAATGATATCGAAATTAAAATTTTCAATGTACAACTCAGTAAGTTGTAAATGCAATGCAGGTCTGAATGAATCAAGAGTACTTCTATCTATATACATATGTCGGCGGAACACAACATGATCTAGGTCTGCAAGTTGTAAGCCAAATCAGTTTTAGTATCCCTTATTATTAGTAATAGATATATCCTTACAATATGAGTTTGAAATGAATATTAATTATTACTCCTATGTTTTTTCAGTCAACTTTTGTGTTTCCTGTGATCGGGATGATTTAGTCCTTCTGAAATCTGGAATTAGTAATTTCTTCTTAATTTGTTATCTGTCTCTATCATAATATATCTGAAATTTTGCCATGTATAATCCAATACACCAGCAAAGTTCATTAACCATTAAACAAAACCTCATTCCAAAAAGTATTAAATCAAGTTTTCAGTAAACAACTGATGCATTCTTAAAAGTCCATAGATAGCCTCCAATGGCAACTGCTCATTCTTTAAGTTAATAAAGCAGTTGAATCGTCTGTTATAAACCAGAAACATCCGAGCAGTGTACCACCTCAACTGAATATTCAAATCGATTTTCCTAATGAAACATATAATAGCCAGAACGCACATGAATCTGCTATTGAAGATGTCTCAAGATGGGAGTAATGTTGGGATAAAATAAATAATCCCGACCAGGAATAATATCCATAGCAAATAATAATAACACAAGAGAGTAACAATGACACCAAATATTTTAGCGGGATAAAATACAATATCCGAGTGTAGCAATATTACCACTATAATATTACAACTCAGTAGTGTCAAGAGACTACTACAACTTTGAAAGAAATAACACTCTTTATATAAAACACCTCACTACAGTATTACTACCACTCACTAGTTATCTCACAGACAACAATCTATAGATTACTCTCTCTAACTTCTATTGTTTCTCTCTTATTTTTGGTGTGTCTTAACTGAGAGGGAATCATCTTTATTTATAGGCAAATTTGACAACCACTTAGCAACACAAATTTGACTTATTGCATTGCAAATTGCAAATTGAAATCTTCAGCCGCCCATATGCATTCAAGCAGCCTATTTTATCCAATTTTTTTTATCTTCTTCTTTTGGTTGATGAGGTGTGGACCTCACAAATCTCTCCCTTAATTTTGATTTTTCTTCTTCAGTCCAAGTCTTGTTCTCAATCTCTGAAAATTTTCAAACTTGAGAGGCTTTGTGAAGATATCTGCAACTTGATCACGAGACTTCACATATTTGAGCTCGACTTCTTTCTTCGCAATGCATTCTCTGATGAAGTGATACCTTGTATCTATATGCTTGCTTCGATCATGATACACTGGATTCTTTGCGAGTGCCTGCGCTGATTTGTAATCAATACAAATCTCTGTAGCTTCCATTTGTGGCAAATTGAGCTCCTTCAATAATCTCCTTAGCCAAATAGCATGACAGGTACATGATGTTGCTGCTATATATTCGACTTCACAAGTCGAGAGAGTAACAATGGACTGTTTCTTTGAACTCCAAGAAATAACAGAAACACCCAAGAAAAATACAAAACCAGTTGTACTTTTTCTATCATCAACATCTCCCGCATAATCACTATCACAAACTCCCATAAGACTGAAATCACTAGAAGAAGAATAAAATAGCCCAAAGTCAATCGTACCTTTTAGGTAGCGAAGAATTCTTCTAGTGACCTTCAAGTGAGTAGAGGTAGGAGCCTCCATGAACCGGCTAACTACTCCAACTGCAAAGAGTATATNTAGGTTCCACGGTCTCCGGTTCTTCTTCATCACCATAGTATAGAAGAAAATCGTATGAAGTTTCTTCCTCAGCTTCCCAATTCCATGCAAGTTCTTCATCAAATTCAACATCACGACTTACCACCACCTTACCGTTGCTTTGGTTGTATAGCTTGTAGCCTTTTGAACTCGTATCATAGCCAACAAACACATGCTTGACACTTCGATCGTCAAGCTTTGCTCTCCCTTGATGTGGCACATGAGCATAGGCAATGCTCCCAAAGATTCTTACGTGCTTGACACTTGGATTTCTTCCAATCCATGCTTCTTGAGGGGTTTGATCTCTAATATTTCTTGTTGGAGACCTGTTATTCAAATAAACTGCACAAGAAATAGCTTCGGCCCAAAATTCCTTAGGCATACTTTTAGCTTTCAACATACATCTAGCCATATTAAGAATCGTTCGATTCTTTCTCTCTGCAACACCATTTTGTTGAGGTGAATAAGGTACCGTTAGAGGGCGACGAATTCCATGAAGTTGACAGAAGTCATTAAATTCGTTTGAGGTGAATTCGCCTCCTCTATCGGACCTTAGAGCTTTAATTTCATAGCCACTTTCTTTCTCCACAAGTACTTTGAAATTTTTAAAAGCAGCAAAAGCTTCAGATTTTTGGTTCAAGAAATAAACCCAAGTCTTTCTACTGAAGTCATCAATGAAAAGCAGAAAGTATTTTCTTTTACCAAAAGAAGGTGGATTGATTGGTCCACACACATCAGTGTGGACAAGCTGGAGCGGCTTGGTTGATCTTGACATGGCCTCCTTTGGAAAACTCCTCCTTGCATGTTTTCCAAGAAGACAAGCTTCACACAATTGATTTGGATGGTTGATTGATGGTATCCCATGCACCATGTTCTTTTCTCCCATTGATTTGAGCGCTTCAAAATTTAAGTGCCCAAATCGCATGTGCCAACACCATGATTCATCTTGCACATTAGCCTTCAAACACTTTGCATCAATTGTTTTAAGATTCAGAGAAAACAATCTATTCTTTTCCATATGCACTTTAACAATTAGAATTCCATTTGAATCTCTAAGCCAAAGATGTATATTTTTCATGTGGATGCCATATTCCTTTTCAAGAAGTTGGCCCAAACTTAAAATATTACTTTTTTAATTTTGGCACATAATAAACATCTTGAATTAACTTGTGACTACCATCTTTACAGGAGATCAGAATCGTACCTATCCCTTCGATTTGAACCTTTGAGGTATCTCCAAAGGACACATTACCTCTCACTGTTTTATTGATCTCCACAAACTTCTCTTTGCATCCACACATATGATTGCTTGCTCCATTGTCCAAATACCACGAGCTGCAATCATCTCTGTCTTCTTCCTTGAGTGCCATCAACAACGTTGACTTATTTTCTTCTTTCTTGTCATCAACAGGGTTAGCCTTTTCTTCAACATTGCTACGACATTCCCAAGAGTAATGGCCAAATTTATGACAATTATAACATTCAATTTTTGATTTGTCATACCTTTGTCCATTATTTTCTTGGTAGTATCCACGTCCTCTTCCTCCTCTTTGTCCACGACCACGACCTCTGAATGTTTGGTGGATTTTAACTTTATTGTTGAAGTTGTTACCACTACTTCTTCTTCTTCCATGACCTCCTCTACCTCGGCCTCGGCCTCGTCCATTTCCTCGATAGCTTGTTTCACCTCCATAATCCTTGAAGGATGCCTGAGTTTTAAGAAATTGCTCCAATGGCACTTCTTGTCTCCTTTTGATCTTTTCTTCGTGGGCCTGTAAAGAACCTTCCAATTACTCCACCATCATAGAGTCTAAATCTTTAGACTCCTCAATAGCACACACCACAAAATCAAATTTAGGTATTAAAGTGCGAAGGATCTTTTCTACCACACAGACATCTTCTATGTCCTCCCCGTATCTTCTTAGTTGATTTACAATAGCTTTCACTTTTCAAAATAATCCGAGATGCATTCGAATTCTTTCATTTTTAAAACTTCAAAATCAGCCCTTAGAGTTTGAAGTTTAACCTTTTTCACCTTGTCAACTCCTTGAAGAGAATTTTGTAAAATCTCTCAAGCTTCCTTTGAGGTGGTAGCATCTGCCACCTTCTCAAACATGGCATCATCCAAACATTGGTGGATGAGCGTGAGGGCTTGTTGATCCTTCTTCCTTGTCTTTGCCAAGACCTCTTTTTCATTTTGGGGCAGAGCTTCCTCATTATCGGGTTTTGCATACCCTCTGTCTACGATTTCCCATACATCTTGAGAGCCAAGGATGGCTTTCATACGTAGACACCATTTCTCATAATTATCTTTTGTCAGACGGGGGTACTAAAAAGATAGCGGACCATTATTTGCCATGGCTCTAATATTATGTTGTTGGGATAAAATAAATAATCCCGCCCAGGAATAATATCCACAGCAAATAATAATAACACATGAGAGTAACAATGACACCAAATATTTTAGCGGGATAAAATACAATATCCGAGTGTAGCAATATTACCACTATAATATTACAACTCAGTAGTGTCAAGAGACTACTACAAATTTGAAAGAAATAACACTCTTTATATAAAACACCTCACTACAATATTACTACCACTCACTAGTTATCTCACAGACAACAATCTGTGGATTACTCTCTCTAACTTCTATTGTTTCTCTCTTATTTTTGGTGTGTCTTAACTGAGAGGGAATCATCTTTATTTATAGTCAAATTTGACAACCACTTAGCAACACAAATTTGACTTATTGCATTGCAAATTGCAAATTGAAATCTTCAGCCGCGCATATGCATTTAAGCAGCCTATTTTGTCCAATTTTTTTAATCTTCTTCTTTTGGTTGATGAGGTGTGGACCTCACAAATCTCTCCCTTAATTTTGATTTTTCTTCTTCAGTCCAAGTCTTATTCTCAATCTCTGAAAATCTTCAAACTTGAGAGGCTTTTGAAGATATCTGCAACTTGATCATGAGACTTCACATATTTGAGCTCGACTTATTTCTTCGCAATGCATTCTCTGATGAAGTGATACCTTGTATCTATATGCTTGCTTCGATCATG